AACTAGGAATAGAAGGAATAAAGTACATCTAAAAAAGGCCTATAACTAACACCAAACTTAATGATGAAAGAATGAAAACTTTCCCCCTGAGATCAGGAACAAGGCAGGGAGTTCAGCTTTCACTACATTTATTCAGCATTGGACTAGCATAGCTAGTCCAATAAGAAAAAAAGAGCAACAAAAATAAAAGACGTACAGATAGGAAAGGAACTAAAACTCTCTTCATTCACAGAAAACATGATCATCATATAGAAAGAATCTACCAAAAATGCAAATAGAGTGTGTTTAGCACAGTCACAAGATATAAGATCAATATACAAAAATCAATTGGGTTTCTGTATCGTAACAATTAACAACTGGAAGTTGAAATTTTAAAACTCATATTGTCAGTAGCAACAAAAATATTAAATGCCTGATTTCAAGACTTACTGTAAAGCTCAAGTAATCAAAATAGTATAGATAATATAGATCAGTGGAACAGTATAGAGGATCCTGAAATAGACTCAAACATATATAGTCAATTGATTTTTAAATAAAGATGTCTGGATAATTCAATAGAGAAAGAATATTCTGTTCAGGGAGTGGTTCTGGAAAAAATGGATTTCCACATAAAAAAAGACTATTAATCTTTAAACAAAATCATAAACGTAACTTGAAATGGATGATAGACCTAAATATACAAGCTAACACTGTAAAACTTCTAGAAGAAAACAAGATAAAATCTGTATGACTTTGGGATAGGCAAAGGTTTCTTAGATAAGACATAAGCATGAACAATAAGGGAAAAGATATGTCTCTCCACTTCGTAAGACACTGTTTGGAAAACAAAAATGCAATTCACAGACTGGAAGAAAATATTTGCAAAACGTATAGCTCATAAAGGACTTATGTCCAGAAGAGATAAAGAATTCTTTTCATTCCAACCCAATTTGTTTAAATGGTCAAAAGATTTGAATAGGCTGATGACACTAAACCAAAAAAAATATAGAAATATCGAGTAAGCATATGGAAAGATGCTGAGCATCGTTAGTTGCTAGGGAAGTGCAAATGAAAACCACAATGAAATATCACCTCGCACCTGTCAGAATCAAAAAGACAACAAATAACAACTGTTGGCGAGGATGTGGAGAAAAGGGAACCCTTCTGCCCTTTTACTGGGAATGTAAGTTGGTGCAGCCACCTATGGAAAATAGTATGGAGGTTTCTTTAAAAATTAAAAATAGAACTACCATACGATCCAGCAATTCCATTCCTGGGTATTTATTCAAAGAAAACAAAAACACTAATTAGAAAAAGATATATGTACCCCTGTGTTTATTACAGCATTATTTACAATAGCCGAGATATAGAAGCAACGTAAGTGCCAATCAATAGATGAATGGATAAGAAGATGTGGTATATATAGATATGTAAAACATCTATTACTCAGCCATAAAAAAGAATGAAATCTTGTCATTTCCAACAACACAGATGGACTTGCATGTATTATGCTAAGTGAAAATAAGTCAGACAGCGAAAGACAAATACTGTATGATTTTACTTACATGTAGAATCTAAAAAATAAAACAAATGAACATAAAACAAAATCAAACTCATAGATACGGAGAACAAACAGGTGGTTGCCATAGGAAAGGGGGTTGGGGGGAGGAGAGAAATTGGTGAGGGAGATTAAGAGGTTCAAACTCCCAATTACAAAATAAATGAGTCACAGGTATACATGAGGTACAGTACAGTGTGGGGATATGTCAATAACTATACTTTTAATATCTTTGTAAGATGACAGATGGTAACTAGGCTTATCGTGGTGATCATTTTGAAATGTACAGAAGTACCGAATCACTATGTTGTGTACCAGGAACTAACATAGTGTTGCAGGTCAATTATACTTCAAAAACAAACAAGCTGACAGACAAACACATAGAAAAAGAGATCAGATTTGTGGTTACCAGAGGCGGGGGTTGGGACAGGGGGAATTGGCTGACGGCAGTCAGAAGGTATAAACTTCCAGTTATAAAATAAATAAGTACTTGGGATGTGATGTACAACATGGTAAATAGAATTAACACTGCTGTACGTTATATATGAAAGTTGTTAACGAGAGTAAAGTCTGAGTTCTCATCAGCAGGACAAATATTTTTTTCTCTGTCTTTAATTTTGTATCTGTATGAGATGATGAATGTTCACTAAACTATTGTGCTGATCATTTCATGACGTATGTAAGTCAAGTCATTATGCTGGATGCGTTCAACCTAGTGCTGTATGTCAACTATATCTCAACAAAACTGGCAGAAAAGAGTACACATGGGAAAGTCTAAAAATGAAAAACAAAACAAAAACCACAATGAGATACCATTTTATACCTACTAGAATGGCTAAAAAGAGAATTGATAAATACCTGTGGTTCAGTCATTGAATGGAGTACCACTCAGCAATTAACCGGTCACTGATACAACAAAGATGCATCTGAAAGCACTATGCAAAGTTGAAGAAGCCAGACACATACTACTACTCACTCGTACGATTCCATTCATGTGAAATTCTGAAAGAGGCAATACTGTAGTGGCAGAAAGCAGATCTGTGGTTGCCAGGAAGTGGGGGAATGACTCCTAAGGGACCTGAGGGAATTTTGGGGGAGATGAAAATATTCTATACCATGATTCTGAAGGTGGTAACACCACCGTGTACATTTTTCAAAACTCAGCAAATTGTATACTTAAATGAATGACTTTTATAATATTTAAATGACACCTTAATAAAGAGATTTAATTTCTTTTAATGTTATGGGGACATAGAACACAAAAAGATGCTTTCCCCTTTGGTAACCGTAGGTTTGTTTTCTATTAGACAGTCTATTCAGTTTCATTCCTAAGAACAATATATATATATATTTTTAATATATATAAATAAATAAAATACCTGGGAATTAACTTACCCAGAAGTAGGAGGCAAGTACAGACCACTGGGCGACATTAAAAGATGCCTTTGAGTAACTGGAGAAATATGTGGTAGGCCTGGAAAGAAAGTCTTATTGCTGTAGAGATAGCAGTTCTCTTCAGCCTAATATAGTTTTGGTCAAAATACAATTGCGATCCCCTATAACGTTAACAAAATAACTGTGAGAGTTACCTGGAAGAACAAATTACTGGGTGTAAGTAAGGCACTTTTGAGAAAGCAGACGAGGAGTAGTGGAGTGAAGGACCATTGCTCTACCAGATATTCAAAGGGACCCTCAGTTAAAACGGTGGGTTTGGCAGCACGAGGTGTAGATGATGGGCACACTGTCCAAAGTCCAGAAATCAAGCCTAACATTCACAAAAGTTCATGACGGTAAATATAGCATTGAAATCTTGGTCTTGGAAGGGCAGACCAGCCAACTGGAATCTAAAATTAAGCAATTTCACATATTCATATCTTAAGATAAATTTCAAATAGATTAAAACTGTGACCAAAAAAAAAAAACTATTAGGAAAATGCAAAGAAGTATATAGGTGAACATACCTATAATCTTGAAGTGGGTCACGCCTTTCTAGGCAGAAACTTCATTTGTTCCTACCTGACTGCATAATTATAAAAATTTTCAGGGTGGCAGATAACATAACTAAACAAAATTATCCACATTGTATAAAGGATACAACAGGTTACCTAAATAATAATGATGCTACTGCTGCTGAGGATAAAAAAAAAGACATACTCAAGTAGAGAAAAAGGATAAAAGATATATTTACGGTTTTAATATTTTACATAGCTTTTGTCTCAGCAAATGTACTCATTTCTTTCTAAATAATCTTGGATGGGGGAAAAGCTTTATTTATAAGGATATTTACTTCCTTATCCCTTACCAGTGGAAAAGGTTAAAAGCAATTAAAGTGTCCAACAGTAGGGGATTGGTATAATTTCTAAGGCTGCCATAGCACGTTACCACAAACTGAGTGGCTTGATACAACAGGGAAATTTATTCTCTCACAGTTCCAGACTCTAGAAGTCTGAAATCAAGGTGTTGGCAGGGCCCTGCTCCCTCTGATGGCTCTAGGGCAGAATCCCTCCTTTCCTCTTCCAGCTTCTGGTGGCCCTAGGCTTGTAACTACGTCACTCAAATCTCTGCTTCTGTCATCACATGTCCTTCTTTGCGTGGCTGCACTTGGTCGTATAAAGGCATCAATCATTTGATTTGCTCCCTCCCGCCCCCGCCAATCCAGCATGACCTCATCTTAAATATGCAATTACATCTGCAAAGACCCTGTTTATAAATAAGGTCACATTTTGAGGTTCCAGGTGGACAAGAATTTTAGGGGGGACACTATTCAACCCAGTACAGATGATATAGAAGAATATCTAAAGATATAGAGAAATGTTTACAAAATATTATTGAATAAAAAAGGTGACTTGATACAATGCCTTTAAATAAAAATATCATGTATAATAGATCCAATAAAAGCCTGAAAGGGCATTTACGGAAGCACTGCCAGTGGTGCTAAGTTGGGAAAGGCTTGAATGATTTTCATTGTGTTAATAAATTCCTGTATTTTCTAAATTTTTTGCAATGAATATGTGTTTCTTTGATAAAGAGGAAAAATAGTGAGCCTTTCTTGTCTAGGTTTTCAAACTATAGGTTTAAAAATGAATTCACATTCTTGATTGCTACAACTTTTGTCTAATGAGTTAAAAATAGCATTTACAGAGTTCAAAGTACATTTTTAAATGTCATTTAAAACAAAGAATATTTCAAAGTTGAATACTTCCCTATTATACAAGATGCTTTTGTTTTTCCAAATTATAGGCAATTTGAGGTTTATGGGTTTGACATGCTCATTTTAAGTGTTTATTGTCTTTTGTGTTATTAGAATTTCCCTGACTCTGTAATAGTTAGATTTGTCACTCCATCCAGACACAGATGTTCTAGGTAAACATAAACTCCAGAACATTCTAGCTACATGTCTCTAGAGCACTGGTGAGATATTTGGAATGAACAATTGCCATGTTATTTGTTGCTGTTTTCCTAGGCAAGGAATTGTTCCTCCGGGTCTCACAGAAAATGAGTTATGGAGAGCAAAGTACATCTATGATTCAGCTTTTCATCCCGACACTGGTGAAAAGATGATTTTGATAGGAAGGATGTCAGCTCAGGTTCCAATGAACATGACCATCACAGGTTGTATGATGACATTCTATAGGTGAGTTCTGGCAATGTAACGACAGTTTGTTTGCTTTATATTCCAGAAGCTTAAAGTACATTTTTTTATGTGAGTGGTTTTATCGAAATAAATGTCATTTCATGTGGCGTTTCATTTTGTATAAATGTTGCAACTCTAGGGGGTTGTTTTACCTTTTCCCTCTGTTGAGTAGAACTCTCCTTGTTGCCCAAAAGGAGGTTGAATTTCTCCCTAAATCTTAGACCCAAAAGAAAATGAGAAAGAAAATAAAAAGATCCTCTAAGCAGATTCTGTTTAATCCATTCATATGATATAGGTATAAGTATAGGTATAGGTGTAGACATGTAGTGAGGAGGGACCAGAAATAGCCTACAAATGGCTTTTTTCCCTAAGAGAAGGGACCTGACATTAATCACATTAATTGAGTGCCCACTCTTTGCTGGGCTCCCTTACAAATTTAAGATAAAATTTAAATAAGTTAGCTCCATCCTCACCCTAACCCTCTGAGTTTGTTGCTATCCATATCTAACGAATGAGGAAACTGAGAATCAGACAAGATAAAAATCTGCCTAGCCACACCGGTCCTCGGCCTTTGACCCAGAACACACAGTCCTGGACCCAGCGTTCTCCCTTCTCCAGTCCATCTCCTCTCTGGTTACTGGTGCTCACGTTGTCCATTCTGCATGGCGGCTGGTTCACAAGCACTGGTGGGTATGTGATGGATTGTTCTGTTTCAGGACCGCACCGGCAGTGCTGTTCTGGCAGTGGATCAACCAGTCCTTCAATGCCGTGGTCAATTACACCAACAGAAGTGGAGATGCTCCCCTCACTGTAAAGTAAGACTGGAAGATTTAACTGTCCTCTGCACTTCTCTGGGGTTCATTTGATTCACTGGTGATGCTCTCCTGGTTAAAAAAGTATATTCGTACAAATTGTTTATATGGTTTGGAATCCTAGGGAGCATTTTTTTCAGTAGTGTTTCTTTTCCTCCCTTTCTATGTAGGTAATGGTTTTTTGCAGGCTGCCTTTCCAGACATCATCCATGCCGTTAGTGGCTCTGGTAGGAGGACATGGCTCCCACACCCTAGGGCGCATCCCTGCCTCGCCCCCACAGAACACACAGCAGGCAGCTCAGGGCTGGCCTGTGTGACATGACACACTGTACCCCCATCCACCCTGTGGGTGTAGACAGATACCAACATCAAAAGTAGCAGAATCAACAGTGTGATCTCTGCAGAAATCCAGGGGAATTTTGTATCTGATTTGTCTTTAAAATAGGACGCCTCCGGAACCCAAAAGAAAGTGAATGGATTTAAAATTTTGCCTCCTGTGAAAAGATGTTCAGATAGACTAAAATGATTAGTTAACCAAAACTTTGAGCCTAACTTAGTAACACTTGAAAGCATTTTCTTTTTTGTTTTAACTCTCAAATTGCTTTTGACCATCTGTAGTCTTCTATTATCATCCTAGGCAACAAAGAATATTGAAATCTGCAACCCAGCAGTGCTGGTCACACCTTCATTTCATCCAATCATTGAATTAAAATTTATTTTAAAATAAGAGAGAACTGCTTGGGCTTAATTGTATTTTGAGGATGAGACTTTTAGTATTTTTATACCATAAGATGTCATTTTTAGAATGGCGGCACTGCATTTTTACTTTCAGTATGTATAGTGATATTTTGAGAAGTATTTTTTTATTTAAGCAAATATGCTACAAACATTTAAGCTAATATGCATTTTCCCACATTTGTAGCTTCCTGCACAGTCCCTGCTTCCTTCCCCCCACCACCACGCATGCATATTCTCTATGTCTACTCGTTTGGCGTGGTAGTTAGGTTCTATGTGAAGAATGCCATTTTTGTATGGGTCTGCTTGCTTTTTCTCTGAATATCTCTACTTGTAGAGTGATGACAAATGTTGTTTTGTGGGATCTCCTTTTTAAAATTTATTTTATTGAAGTATACTTGGTTTACAGCGTTGTGTTAATTACTGCTGTCCAGCAAAGTGACTCTGTTATACATATGTATATACATTCTTTTTCATATTCTTTTCCATTATGGTTTATCACAGGATATTGAATATAGTTCCCTGTGCTATATAGTAGGACCTTGTTGTTTAGCCAATCTATATATACCAGTTTGCATCTGCTAATCCCAAACTCCCAGTTCATCCCTCTCCCACCTGCTTCCCCCTTGGCAGCCACCAGTCTATTCTCTATGTCTCTGATTCTGTTTCTGTTTCTTTGATACGTTCATTTGTGTCATGTTTAATGGAATCTGTATTCTTAATCTTGATTTCTTCCAAAAATGTTGGGCTTGAGTTTTCTGACATACACTTGTTGTTTATGTACCATTTTCCTTCTTTTCAGTGAATTGGGAACAGCTTATGTTTCTGCAACAACAGGTGCTGTAGCAACAGCTCTAGGACTCAATGCGTTAACCAAGGTACTCAGATTTTTATTTCCATAGCAGTAAAGCTTCTTAATTTGTTCTCACCTGCCTGGCTCTAAGTCTCTCTGTTAATTTCTCAAAAATAGTTCAAGTCCTATGACTCTCTTATTATAGTCATTATCTTCGACTGCTTTCTTAAAGTGTATCTTTCAATACGTTTGGGAAGGAGTGTCACTAATAACATCTGCCAAGACCCTGGTCTGTACCTGGCACTGTGTATTCAATGCTAAATGCTCACCCATCCATACAGCCCACCAGAGGCTGGGTGCCGGGCTGGGTACCTCCAGGCACTGCCCTGAAGAGGTAGAGGAGTCAGCATCTGAACCCAAGACTGTGGGACTCCAAAGCCCCTGCTCCATCAGCCACATAAAGCCATCAAAATATCTTGGAAGTCTGCCTTGTCCCAGTGTGCCCAGGCTGGAAATAGAAAAGTACCTCTAGGAAACCAGGTTTTGAACGTACTCTTGACCCAAGTTTCTATACAAATAGGACTCTGCATTTGTAGAGGTTTTCAAGAAGAAATAAGTACTTGCATTCAGTACTACAGGAAAAATAAGATCTTGCTTTTGGAATTATCTTTTCTGCAGCATGTCACTCCGCTCATAGGACGCTTTGTTCCCTTCGCTGCGGTAGCTGCTGCCAATTGCATTAATATTCCATTAATGAGGCAAAGGTAAGGTTAATATGCCCTCTTAGAGAGGACCTGTGCTTGACAGTAGGGTCTTATAATAATCTGCTTTGTTGAAACTTAAATAAATTTGTTTTATTTTAATATTTACAGATGAAGTTTTATGAGATCTGGGATCTGCTTCCAAATAATCTGGTTTTGGGGGTGAGGATGGGTCCATTGATGAAACAAGGTCAGCTCTGAGTTGCTGATTATTAAAGCAGGCTGATGGCCGTATGGGGTTTAGAATAGTCTTTCTGCCTCTGTATAATAAAAAGTTTAAAAAATAGATCTCAAGCTTACGTCTATGCCTAGAAAGCTTCTTCTATACAATAGGTTCTTCCCCCCTTCCCCCCAGATTTTCTCTTGGGGTTTCAAGTAATATTAATCTATATCTCTGGAAGTATTTTTTAGTGCTGGCAAAAATTAAAGGAGAAGAAAAAACGAGAAAAAAGCATTTTGGATTGGATAACGAAAAACAGGGTAACAGTAGGAGCTATAATTGTAGCAGTAGTGACCATAGTTAAATATGCAATAGTTCCGTGTACTTGTGACTCCTATGTCAGTATAGTTAGTTTATTTTTTAGTAATTATATCTATCTCTCATTTGGAAAGTTGCTCAAATTTGCACATGAGCTTAGAAATCAGCCTTATCTCTAAGTTAGCGTATTCACCTGTTGAGTCCTATTGTTGTTCAAAATGCTACACCTTTTTTTTTTTTTACAAAGTTTACTAGCATTATTTTACTTGTGTGTCTATCACGCGAGGATTAAGCATGTTTGTGGTTTTAAAAATAGACTTAATAGTGCCAAAAATGACACTGGAGTGGATTTTTGGATTAAGTAGGGACTTGGGCTTTCACAGCTTCAGTACTGTTTCCAGCCATTCCGCGAAGGCACCTGTGAACTTCTTTGCCCGTTGTCTTGCCTTCTAGGGAACTCAAAGTTGGCATTCCTGTCACAGACGAAAACGGGAACCGCCTGGGCGAGTCGGCAAACGCAGCCAAACAAGCCATCACGCAAGTAGTTGTCTCCAGGATCCTCATGGCAGCCCCCGGCATGGGTGAGTAGAGCTTTGCCATCCATTCATTTATTCGGTACGTTTCAATCAAACAAGCGTTGGTGCACCAGTGAGCAATAACCGCAAAGGATCCCTTCCCTTAGTGGAACTTACTTTCTGGTGGGGGAGGCAGAAAACTAACAAAAATAAGTAAAATATGAATATGTGAGATGGTTATAGAGCTAACGGGGTGGGGGGGGAGAGGGTTGGGGATCTTGGGGTGGAAGTGCTATCGAACGTAAGTCCGTGTGCCCCACATATAGTGAGGCCAAATGATACCAAAATGTTGGGAGTTTGGAGCAGAGAAAGGTTTATGGCAGGGCCATGCAAGGACAATGGGTGGCTCATGCCCCCAGAAACCCCCGAAGGGTTTCAGCAAAGCATGTTGAAAGGCCAGGTGAGGGAGGCGGGACACAGGGTGTGTGATCTACTCATGCACAATTCTCTGATTGGTTGATGGTGAGGTAATAGGACAGTTAACATTATCCATCCTTAGGCACCAGAAGGTCTGGGGGCTATGTGCTCATGATCATCAAACAGTTAATTTCTTCCACTGGGTGGTGGTTTTTAGCATCTGAAAAACTCGGGAAATATCCATGAGGTACTGTTAGCTGGGTACTTCAGAGAGGAGATATAGCAGAGGATATGGGGAAGGGGTCTGTCCCAGGAAGACCCCGTGCGGTCCTGCTTGGTTACAGAAGTAGACTGGACAGATGGGAGCGAGGGAGCCAAGTGGTTCCAGGGTCGAATATTCCGGGCAGACGGAACAGCAGGAGAGCAGGGAGCTGTGCCCAGTGTGATGGAAGCATCACAGGAGGCAGGTGCAACGGGAGGGGAGAGAAGGGTGTGGGAACAGTAGAAAGGAGTCGACGAGGCCGCAGTGGGCAGAACGCAGATGGCCCTGCAAGCATTTGGATCCCTGGCTTTTAGTCTGAGGGGTAGGAGGCCGTGGAGGGTTTCGAGCACAGGAGTGGTAATGATAATCCGGCTTAGGTTTCAACTGAGTGACTCAGGGTCCCGCGTTGAGAGTAGGCTGAAGAGGGACCAAGAATGGTGGTTGGAGACTGCTCAGGAAGCTGTTGACTACTGCAGGCAAGAGATTATGGTAGTTGGATCAGGGCAGTGACAGTGAAGGTGATGACAATTTGAAGGGAAAGAATTTGATCTTTGTAAATCTTGAAAAGAAACTTCCAAAAGTTCTTGAATAGGAATAACTTCTACTGAAGATTTATTCGTATCAATGGGAAACCCTTAGAGCATGAAGCAAGTTGGGTTAGTTATAGGAGCTATTAATATGTGACTCAGTTTTGTCCCTAGGGCCTGGACTCAACATAACCAAAAGCAGAAAATCTCCACTGTGATTTAGTTCCCCTGAGAATCTCTGGTCCACTCCTAAGGCTTCTTCAGCTACCCTCAGACCAGGGCTCTCGAGAAGGTTCTCAGACTTACTCAGAAACCAGAGGGCCCGGGAGTACATAACTCTTTGCAGAAAAATATAAATATATATTTTACAGAGAGAAATGAGTATGTTTACTTCCCTTGTCTAAATCAGATGCAAACAGCACTTGGCTATTAACTAAACTCTCAAAAGAAGCATACTTGATCAAGTGCTGTCAGGCTTTCTCACTACTATTTTTTGTTGTCTCTAAATTCCTTTTGTCACTGGGAAAGCTCATCAGCAGACAAGTAGGAGTGGGCAAAGGAAAGTTGAAGAAAAGGGCATGAAAGAAAACTTGGAGGCGCATTCCAGCCAATTGCACTCCAGCTAATTGGTTATCTGATTTAACCACCATTAAGTGATTTAACAAGGAAGCACCTCAGTGCCCTCATGAGACAGCGGTGTGCACCGTAGGGGTGAGTGAATGGTGGAAACCACAGTCGTGAACTGTAGGCCAGGAGTCCCCTGAGTCCGGGACCAGCACGTTGTCACTAACCTACGAGGAGGCTGGGGAGGCAGCCCCAGAACACCTGCTGAGCCCAGATTTCCAGTTTGCCGAAATCAAGGTGGCCATTCCGGCTTCTACCCTGGGTGGGCTTTTGGTTTTGTTCTCTCCCATTTTGAAATAAGGACGCTCCTCTTTGAAGTTCAGCCGGCCCGACAAATTTGTTTCCAGTGGCTTGGTTACTTTAAACATTATTTAGTCCCCGGAGAAGGAACACAATCTTTCTATCCCCACGAAATCTCTAAAGGTAATTGATATATTGAAATTGATGTGACAGTTTAGTCTGATAAAAATCATGAATAAATGAACTAACACTATCCAATGTTTTACGGGCATCATTGCATCTAATCATCCTGGCTAGTTTGATACAATTGTGCCTATTATATAGATGAGGAAAACAGAAAACTGAGGCTCAGAGAAGTGTTTTCCAGGATCACCCAGCTAGCAAGTGGTCTGCGTGACTCAAAGCAGGAATCTTTATACTGGACTCTATGTGGGATGGACACCCCGGGAAGGCTGCATTTGTTTCATTGGTATAGGAGGGAGAAGTTCCTGATGTTTGTACTGTTGCGTATTTAATGTTAGATATAAAGTTCTCTTCAAGATCATAAAATTTTCTGGCTGGCAAAGAGCATTGTGTTATTTTTCAAAAATCTAGAGAATGGAAACAATGGATTTTAAAAAAAAATACTAAGGTATTTTAAAGAATTATTGCAATTGCTTTTACTCTGCCAGTGTGAAAATAGCCTAAAAGTAATATAAGCCTTTTGTGAAATTGTTGGGGGGAACAAAAAAAAAAGTGAGCTGAAAATAGACATGAAGATTTAAGTGGATCTATCTTTACTTCCAGCCATCCCTCCATTTATCATGAACACTTTGGAAAAGAAAGCCTTTCTCAAGGTAAGCCCCAGTTCTATTTATCCTTGTCTCAATCCTTTCAGTTTGTTTTCAGACTTCAAACTGAAGTTATTTCCCACATGAATAGTGAGTAAAGAATTTGAAGGCCAGTGGCAATCGGGCACTTCAGGGAATATTTTATTTCTAATATCAGATATTTGAAAAAGCTCTCATAAATCTTCATTTATTGAATGCTGCCCACTCCTCTTGAGAGGTAATAACCCAGGTACACATTCATCGTAGTCATCAGTCGGATCCCTAGCCAGGTAATAATGAGGAGATGGTGTGAACTTGGAATGATTTGTTTGTAAGTCCCGATACGTACTATCAGAAAGGAAAAAATAATCTGGAGTAGTAGCTTCACAGAGCACTGAATTTAGTGCCCTGAGGTATTTTTCTTTGGTCATCGTATCTAATAATCTATTAATCTGTCAGCCGCCTCCCCTCAGGGTCTGAAAATATTATAGGATGAAACCGTCACTGAGAAATCTCTGTGCGTTGTCCGCATTGTTTTTGTCACTTCCGTGATTTAATGCAATCATATTTATGCTACATCTTAGCTTTCCAGTTCTTGTAACAAGTAGGAAAGAGTGGGATAGGGTGACTCGTTTGGCTCCTGCTGTGTTTAGAAGCTGACACCATTACACCTGCGGGGAGGAATGGGTCCAGTTCCTTGCTGGAGGAGCAGGTGTGTTGTAAACACTGCAGCTCTCTTGGGGTGAATTGTTTTGGGTCTTAGCGACAGAACCGTCACACTGAGAGGACAGTATCGGACTTTGAAAAAAGGACATGGTTCACAGACCAAACACTTCCTGAATGATTTCTGTGATTAGGAGAATTCTAAGTGTCCAACAGGTAAATGTTCATTGACCTTTATTCACCCTATGGGCTCCATCCAGGAGGAAAATTAAGGCCAACACTAAATACTTTCAATACAATCACATTCTTAGAAAAATAAGCCAAGAAAGTATGCTTTGAAAAAAATAGTAGTGTTGCGTGCCTCATTTGACCGGCATGTCGATGCACCAACCCCATGTGAGGGAAAGGGGACCCTCTCTTCAGCAGCCCCCTCCCAGTCTTCCTTGGGAGCTTTGGGTACGTGAGCAGATTATATTCCCTGAGATTCTTCCTCTGGCAATCTTACATGTCGATGTGAATTGCAAGATAGGGTGTCACAGTGGCTCTGTAGTGATTGAACTATCCCATTGCTCCTGGGAACGTTCCCAGGGGGGATCCAGAGACCCCCTGGGCCACCCCAGGAGGCTGCATCCTCAAATGCGCTCTGAGTCCCCGTCCATCTCCTGTGAGGGTTTCTACAGCCTAAAGTGTAAGATTAAACAAAAATACAAAACAGTTACACTGATTGAATCAGTAACGCTATTAGTGATGACCAAAATGTAAATGTGACCTCATTTGACATAATTTACCTACTTCGATAAGCCCTTATTTTGAGGATTCATGAAAAGGCTTTGCTGAAGTCTGTTTCTGCTGCAAAATTTAGAAAAGATTAATTCTTTAAAGCTGCTCAGGGATTAGTTTATGTACTAGAACAGGGACTAGATCTTGAAATTACCAAATTATGTAAACAGATGAACTCTTTAAAGCTGCCAAAGGAATTAGTGTGTATGTGCTTGAACAGTGACTAGATCTTATGTAAACATCTAAAACTCACCAACTTTGACATTTCAGTGATTTTCAAATAATCTAAAAAAAAAAAAAATTAATGCTCCTTCTTCTATCCATCCCTGCTTTCCTTATGGGAAGTAATTTAGGCTTTGAGGGAGAAAACATATCAAATGAACTTAGAAAGGGGGCCATCAACATTATCCTCCAGGATGCTAATAGGAAGTGACCCATCCAGTGGATCCATAACTTTGCAGACATGGAATTGATGCCCTGGGTTCTTCTCCGCTGGCTCTTGATCTGATAAGTCATTAGGATTATAGTCGTTCTGCAAGGGCATATGTTGACCCAGGCAACCTTTGGATTTGCCTGGTTGTTAATTTCTTCAGGTATTGGCATGCCAACTTTGGGAACAACGGAGAATCAAAAACCATGTTTAATAAACTCAACTTCCCCTCCCATGGAATTTAAGCAAAATCAGGTTTTTAAAGCAAGACCAGATTTCTGGGTAGATAACAAGGCTTGGAAATTGTCGTCTCATCATGTTAGTTTGTCTGGCATAAAAGTGAACTTTTGCAAGAGAGGAATACTTTTGCAAGTGTGGGTCATTCCATCAATAATATATGATTGTCGTGAATTTGCAGGTGACTGTGAGAGCAGTTGGGAGGCCACCTTCAGTGACAGTGTGTCCCCACCATTGAAGCTTTCCCATCCCCTTCTCTCTGCCTCTCAAACGTCACCCAGCACCCAGTTAGCAGAGGTATGTCAGCAGCCCGGCTCTGGAGTGGAGCCTCCTAATCTTGCCAGCTGCCACTGCTGGTGGGACATTATTCCCCGGAGTCTCACTCCAGGCTGTGGATACTGAGCACACATGGCTGCTTACATGTGAGCTGATCATGGCGTGGGATTCCAGAAATTCTGTAGGAAAGTCTGCATTTGAACCTACATTCATGCTAAAGAGTTAGGTCACTGGGGAAGACATGTGAAATGAACTTGGTCCTTTACTCTCCCAGCTGTCATGCCTTTGAACTCCTGGGGTCTCAGTGTTGTTGGAAAAGTTGCCACGGTTACTCTCATATCTTGGTGACAAACACTGGGCAGGAGACATAGCTGGGCATATTGTATCATTTTCTTGCTGGGACAGACAGAAATTGCTGTAGATACAGCCTGGCATTTTCTTCCATGAAGCAACCAGCAAATGATACAAGCAGTTAGCCACTGTTGCCACACTGCCCTAGGCTTTTCACAGCAATACATGAATAAATATTGTGTTTTCCTCCCTTGTTTTTGTTTGTGGTTTTCAGCTTTGCTTGGTACCATACCCTTCAATAATCATATAGAGGTGTGCCACCTCGATTCCCCTCTGCCCGCCCCACTCCACTACTGAAGGGCCTCATGTGGAACCGGAAGGGGCCGCTGGCATCAGAAGCCATGGGGCAGGGTTGGGGGAGGCGGTCAGAGTAGCTCATGGGTCAGTCCGAGCACCTCGCTAGCTACAAAGGGTCTGGCTGCAGCTGAACTCGTCTGGACTTCTGTGGAGGATGTTGCTTTGAAAAAGCAATGGCTAAACGTTGAGCTCTTCAGACATAACATCCCACTCCCATGTTCAGGGTGGCTGTTACACCAAAATATTGCATTTTGCCCATGTAGCGAGGACTGTAGGACTTCACTGATACCTATGGCCATTACAAAAGCATAGGCAGAGCAGCTTATCTTCCTATCCATATGTTTCCATCTGCAGAGCACTTTCACATGCTATTTGGAAGGGCAGGCTTTTCTGAGCCCTTTTACAAAGGCTTAGAGGTCATTTCCTCAGCCGTTCATGTCCATGTGGGTGGCATCTGCCTGGGTCGGTTAGCCCTCTGATTGTTCCCGCAGCTCCAGCGGCCAGATGTGCCTCTCTGCAAGGATGTACTTATCTGGGCTTTTACCTTGAATATGACCAGACTCCTCTGCAAACATGAAATGAATTGAATGCTCTTGGCTTTTTTAAACGGTGAGCTTGGGGAGCCTTCGGCATGACTCATCCTTCCCCCCACGCTTTAGCTTTTCCCAAATGGAGCGCTGGCAAAAAGCATCAGCTGTGGGCAGGTGACTCACAGAAATCTTTGCAGTAAACCAAAAAGTTCACTGCTTAAAATCTGGTGCTTTTCCCAACAGTGTTCTTGAAGAATAGCTCCTGTGGTCTCTCTACTTTGCTGGCACTTTCATTGGGAATAAAGTTGATATGGTCTGGGTCAGATAAGAGCTGCTCGTTCCTTAAGTTCTAGTTCATTTATATTTTCTTTAATAAAAGTGGACGGCTCTGTCTACTCAGTAGATTTTCAGGATTGTCTGCTGATGGAGTGTGAATGTAGCGTTTATTTGTTCATTCATTTATTTTATTCAGCAGCCCTTTGTTGAATGCCTGTTGCATGCCAAGCAACGTGCTAGGTCCTAGCATCAGAGAAATAGGGCTTGGGCCCTGCTCTCAGGGACCATATAGCATGGTGGTGGGGAGAGGCACAGGGCAAATGGTTCCAATACATGGTGAGTACAGCGTGAGGCACAGAGGGAGCATAGAAGAGGTTTCGCCCCCAACTGCCACAGGTGGGCAGAGGCTTGAAGACAACTGGCCAGGGACATCTGCTTTGCAGAAGCTCAGAGAAGACACAGAGCACGGCTTGTTGGGAGACTTGTAGATGGTCAGGTTGCCTGGGATGTGGGCCATGTGTAGGGAACTGACTGTACCATATATAAAAATCAACTCCCAATAGTTCCTGGAATCTAAATGTAAAAATGTACAATTGTCAAACTTCTAGAAGAAAATGTAGCAGAACATCTTTGAGATCTATACTTGGGCAAAGATTTCTTAGACATAACACCAAAAGCACAGTCCATAAAAGAAAAAATTGACAAATTGGGCTTCAACAAAATGTTAAAGTTCTGTTTTTTGAAAACTGTAAAGAGATTGAAAAGACAAGAAACAGACTGGGAGAAAATTTATGCAAAGTATGTGTCTGATAAAGGACTTGTATCCAGAATATATAAAGAGTCCTCAATAATTTTTAAAGAAAACAACCCAGTTTTTTTTTTTGCATTTTTTAAAAATTGGATTATAATTGCTTTACAATGGTGTGTTAGTTTCTGCTTTATAACAAAGTGAATCAGTTATACATATACATAGGTTCCCATATCTCTTCCCTCTTGCGTCTCCCTCCCCCCCCCCCCCCCTATCCCACCAGTTTTTTTTTTTTTTTTAAAAAAGGGCAGAATGTTTGAACAGACATTTCACCAAGTATATATAGATATAAAATAATATCACATGTAAAGATGCTCAGTATCTTTAGTCATTGGGGAAATTCAAGTTTAAAACCACATTAGCTACCGTTAAACGCCTATTGGAATGGCTAAAATCAAAAAGACTGACCATAACAAGTGCTGACAAGGCTGTGGAGGACCTGAAACTCTCATCCCCTGCTGGTGGGAATGTAAAATGATACAACCACTCTGGAGGATAGTTTGGCAGTTTCTTAAAAAGTTAAACATATGCTTACCATGTGACCCAGCCATTTCACTCCTAGGTATTTACCTAGAAGAAAGGAAAACATATGTCCATAAAAGACAGATGTTCAAAGCAGCTTTATTTGTAATAGCCCAAAACTGGAAACAATCCAAATGTTCATCAACAGGAGAATGAATGGAGTAGCAAAGCAATACATTCCATGCAGTGGAATACCTAACCCAGCAATAAGAAGCCCTGAACTATGGATACGTACAAGAGCATGAATGAATCTCAAAACAATTACACAAAAAAGTAGATACTGTATAGAAAATCCTAGAAATTATAACCTAGTATATAATGACAGAAAGTAGATCAGAGGTTGCCAGGGAATGGGTGCAGGGTTTAGGGAAGATGGTGGAATTGCCAAGGGCACAAGGAACAAGGAAAACATGAAGGATGATGGCTCTGTTAATTATTTTGATTGTGGTGATGGCTTCACAGCTGAATACTTATATCAAACTTTTATCATACACAGTAAGTATGTGCAATTTATTGTATTTCATAAAGCTGTTGGAGGAAAAATCATTGGGAGGAGAAAGAATTTATTCATATTAACTTTTTGAGCTTTTACTTCATTGACTATATATCTTTTAAACTTGTGATTACTGTCTTTAATTCATTTAAAATATCCTCTGTTTGCGCAATTCTGTGCTAAATAAGGTGTGTCCCTCCCTCACGGAGTTCTGTGATTACCTAGGGGAAAACCATACATCCTCAGCTCACTTATTTAATCTCAGACTAAGTTCTGTTTAAGAAGTAGGGATGAAGGAGGCAGGATGGGATGCTGGGAAGGAGTCGGGAGGAGGGATGACATCCAGGTTGGGTTTCATGGGAGAGATCAGAATTCTCCAGGATCCTTGTCGTTACCGAGAGCCTTTCCAACAGAACCCTCTGCACAAGCCGCCATCAGCCTTTGGTTTGTACACATCCATTGTTGAGATTACACACAGCTGTTCAAGAGTCCACTTGACGTGAGGATGGGCTCTCATGGGCTCATCTTCCCTCAAGATCTCATTCAGGGCTTAGCTTGCCTTCCCATCACCAAGCCTGTGTACCCGCCCAGATGACACACATCTGGGAAGTGCTAGGAAGAGGATTTACCATCTCCTTATGAAAATCCTTCATCATCAGACAGAGCCAGTTGCCCCAGATACAATATTTCCTTTTCCTGCTTCCCTTGGAGGGGTGGGGCCCCTCTGTGCGAGCTCCATGGTCTGTCTCTGCTTGATGACATCTCTCTCTTCCTCTCCAGTCCACGCCTCTCTCCCTTCACGTTCACCCATGTGATGTACCTCTTCGCCAGAGGAGTCTGCTCGGGGACCAGGGTATGCCTGTCAGGCAAGCCTCCTTGGGGTCATGATCTTTTAACAGCTTGTGTTGACACTTAACTAAGTTGGCTGATTTCATTACAGCCAGTTCACAACTTGGTTGCAGCTCTTTCAGTGGCCTTATTTATATAATCTATATATTTCGTTGCTCTTTATATTGCATATTATGCTTTTTTAAAACCCCGTGTTGAACGCTAAAAATCTAATAGCACTTATTCTCTAAAAGACCAACCAACTCATTCATTTCCATTAACAAAAAAGTGACAGGCAAAAATTTGTCATGCCAGCAATAGTTTTAGCCGTACCGACAGCAACTAAACCCAAGAAAGGAAAGGTGCAGAGGAGGAGGGGGGATACTTGTTGGATTTCTGCTACGTTCCGGGCACGGTACTAGGTGCTTTATGAATGTTATCTGGCATGTCTTCACTCACACGCTTTTAGGAAGCTGTCGTGATCCTCATTTTACAGAGAAGGAACCAAAGGTTGGAGACCGTGCCCTTTTCCCACAGTGGGGATGGACTGGTAGGGCAGAGATTTGATTGCAGCATTGTCTTCCAGCCTTGGAACCACGCTATACAGACCCCCAGCCAGGAGAGAAATTATAGCTAAGTGATAACCATTTCTCCAGCTCCCATATAGCCAGGCATCTCTCAGATTATATGTGCAAGGGAGAAAAATGAGAAGCTGCTTAATCTTTGCCTGTGCATTCATGGACAGATCGAAGAGGGAAGTCAGGACTAACTGTAACGCTGTTACAGTGTTACCCCTGCATTTCACTAATCGCATTCCAGCTGGATCTTGTAATGTGGCGAGGTTCCTGTCCCAGTTAACCAGCAGAAGAAATTGTTTCTAAGAGCCTGTATAAAAAGTACTCAAAATAATTTATTTCTCAACACAGAGGTTCCCATGGATGAGCGCGCCTATTCAGGTTGGATTAGTTGGCTTCTGGTGAGTAGAATTACTTTGATGTCATTAATTTCTTTTTTTTAAGATAAATATACAGCATATGAAATGTGAGGGATAATATGGGACACACGTTTTGAAAATGAGACCATCCCAGAACATCTGGAACTTATGGTCCCAGTCATTAGCTAGACATAAGCTGTCTTTAGAGAAGCCTACAACATTTGGGGCTATTTGTGTGATTCTTTTTTAAACTCCTTTATCTCTTTGATTTAAAAAAATATATATATTTTGGCAGTCCTTGGTAGTAAAATTATACGAACAGGACATATTTTTGTGAGGCAGCATAACACTCGAAAGAAAGAAAGGGGATTGTTATCAAAGTAAAATAATAAAAAAGAATCTGAAAAGTCGACCATTTCAAAAATGCTCTGATTCTTTTCTTTTTTTTTTTAAGTTTGGTATTTGCTACACCTCTGTGCTGTGCTCTGTTTCCTCAGAAAAGGTATGTATTTGTTACTCTTCAGAGTGATCATGCGTTTTAATCCTAAAAACCAGTTGAAGACACAGGTCCATTTCACTAGTAGGAAAGTTGAGTCTCAAAAAGATAATGAAGCCAAGCCTCTAAAAAGAAGAGATAAGAGGCAGAAATGAAATGCGTGTCTGTTTAATATCAAAATTCTCTTTGCCCAGCTCTTTTCTACCTCCTACTGTTATATTTGAAAATTCTTTATTCTTGTGTAAGACTCGGGCTAACTCTGGTGCCAATTTGCTCTTATAAAAAGTTAAGTATGGCTCGATGTCCAATCCATTGGCAAATGCATCTATAATGCAGATATATTCGAATTTAAGTTCCACCCCCAGGGACAGCAGTTATATGCACTTAGCTTTGGTGGTTGGTATATTTGCTTCCCTTCTTCCTACTTAGGGTTTTTTTTTTCATTTTTTCTTTTTTTTCTTTTTTTGCCTTAAAAGCTTGATTGTGCACGTGTCTTTCATCACAAGCTGCCCTTGAATCCTGCCTTTGATGTAAGAACTGTATTGACAGGCATTAAATCAGCGTCACATAAATCTAAGGCTTCGGCTTTTTTCTATTCTAACATCAAGGCACAGAGGAGCAGCATTTTGTTGTTTTGCTGTGGTTTGTGTTACCAGACTCCTGCCCTTCGTGGGCCAGCAGGCCCCAAACATATGGCCTTTAATGCCCTAGGCTTTCACAGTGGGTTTGGGATGAGGTATTCTGTTCTAGAACTAACTTCATCAGGTCCCTCTACCTGATAGAAAAATCCATCTTTTATCTGGTCTTTCACTTCTGCCTTTGACCCCCCACTGTTCTTAGTTGGGGATTTAAATTTCAAGGAGAGGGAACTTTTATCACCTTGATGCCTATAGCTAAGCCCCCCTTGAAGAGGGCGGGACCTTCAGAACCTCTGTTGAAGCCCAATACAGATGAATTTCCTAAAGAGGAGCACTCATACCTATTTAATTGTACAAACCCCAGAATCTCAGGGCTTAAGGTAAGAAATGTTTATTTCATTAGTATATCGCATTGGAATGTGTGTTCAGCCCTTGACCTTGTGCTCGGTGACTTAGGAACATGGCATTTGGGTCGAGAAAGATCTGACTTCAAATCTCAGTTACACCTCCAGTTTCCTTATCTGTAAAATTAGGATAATCCCTGACTTGCCAGGTTTTTATAAGGGTTAAAACGCATAACGTCGGACCACGAACCTGAGTACTGGGTCATACCCATTATCATTATCATCAGCGACATGATTTTAAAATTACCCAAGTTCCCACTGTATGGAAAAAAATAGCCATTGTGGTTTTTTTCTAGATTCATAATTTTTCTGTTTTTTGCATATGTTTATAAATCTATATCCTACCTTTTTTTTTTAATTTTTTTTATTTTTGGCTGTGCTGGGTCTTCGTTTCTGTGCGAGGGCTTTCTCTAGTTGCAGCAAGCAGGGGCCACTCTTCATCACGGTGCGCGGGCCTCTCACTATCGCAGCCTCTCCCGTTGCGGAGCACAGGCTCCAGACGCGCAGGCTCAGTAGTTGTGGCTCACGGGCCTAGTTGCTCCGCGGCATGTGGGATCCTCCCAGACCAGGGCTCGAACCCGTGTCCCCTGCATTGGCAGGCAGATTCTCAACCACTGCGCCACCAGATAAGCCCCCTGGCCGGAGTTCTTTAGACCCAACCAAGTTGTCAGCTACTTGCCGCGCAGTCATAATTTGGATGTTTGGTGGTCATCTGGGTGGATCTTTTCAAGTCCAAAGTGATAGAGCAATAGGAGAATGAGAAAGACTGAGTGGGAAAAGCCTTGGCCTCAGTGCGCTTCTTCACGGCCAGAGAACTCGTCTCCGCCAGATCCTGCAGGCGACGTCAGCTGCCACTTCACAGGCTACTCGAATCTACATGGCTCAGGATAAGTCCCAGCCACCCTTCAGAGGGGAGCCATAGCCCAATAGGCGGATCGAGATTATGGCCTTTGAGGCCCCGCATTGGGCGCCAGAAAAGATGTTGCAGGAAAGAGAGTGGGGTGCGAGAGGGTGGTCACATCCCAAGTCATGTCTGTGTCCCTGGGGTGGCCGCCAAGTGTGGGTTCTTGGCTTTGTGCAGGCAAGAATTCAAGAGCAAGACATAGTAAAGTGAAAGAAGGTTTATTCAGGGAGATACACACTCCATAGACAGAGTGTGGGCCATCTTGGAAGGCAAGAGGCCGCCTACCTTTTTTACCTCGGAGTTTACCACATCTCAACTATATTAAAGAACAAATCTTTTTAAAAGACTAATTATATAGTGTTACCAAACCCAGGTTCGGCTGCTTGCCGCTCAGAAGCCAATAATTCAAGAGGCAAGTGTCAGTAGAAAGGAAAGGTGCTTTAATCAGAAAAGCTGGCAGTCTGGGGAGATGGTGGACTTGTGTCCAGAGACCAGCTCTGATGATTCTGCTCAGCCATGACAGTTTTTAAAGGGAAAAAAACGGAGGGGGAAGAATCTCAGCAAATCATCGAGGCAGGAGGTTGGATTCTGCATCATTCTCCGTTGAGTGCAGACTGGCTGACTCTCTTCACATGTTATCTTGCCCACATGATCTGCCTGCGGGATTGCTTAGGGGGATTCGTTGGGGGTAGAGAGCTAGTCATTTTTTTAACTGCTTACTTCTTCATTCTTCTTTTTATCTAGGAAAAGAATCAACAGGCTAGACAAGGCATGGTGTGCATTCAGGACAGCACAAGTCAGGAGTTAGGCTAATGGCCTAGTGATCTCATCCCTGTCATTAGGTTCTTCTAAGATTAGAGGGGAACAGAAATGGGCAAACAGGAAAGGGGCAAACGAGTTGCTTTCAATAACAAAATGTCCACAGTTTTTCTGGACAGTTTTTCTTCATCCTTAATACATATGCACATATAAAACATTCAAGTACATTTTTAAATGTATAAAGCAAGCACTAACGGTGGTCAACAAGAGATGTTTTTTCTCATACATTTTAGTATTTTCTGAAAGCTTTAGAATAAGTATGTTTTACTATACAGTGGACAAAAGCAGATTAATTAAAGTGAATTTGTAGTGCTAAAAAGTTCCACTGAGTGCATATATCTTTTTTTAATTGACGGTGAACATTTATGTTGTTTTCCTTGGGAAGTGGCGTGACCACAGGTTGTTTTCCAATACCATCAGGGTCTAAGAGTGTCATCACCATACCTCCTTGCTGGCAAAAGTGGTTTTTAAGGCTTTTAATAAGATGAGAGGTAAAAAGCGTATCTCAGTGTTGGGTTTTGATGGTGCCTTTCTTTGATATTTAGTGACAGTTTTCTGAGAGGAACAGGATACTCGTTTTCTGGGCACGTGAAGCATTTTTCAAACAGGACTCTGTTGTCCCAGTCACAGGGGGTGGGTGGGGCTACTCTCTCTCCTCTCTCCAGGTTCTAATTCCCACCTCCGCCCGTGGAATGACCCTGTCTGTCGTTTCTCCCTTCTCCCAGTTCCATGTCTGTGACAAGCTTGGAGGCCGAGCTGCAAGCCAAGATCCAAGAGACCCATCCTGAATTACGGCGCGTGTACTTTAACAAGGGATTATAAAGTAGGGAAAGAAACATCTTCAGAGGATCCTACCAACCACAAGTGTGGTGTAGCCAAGTTGGTAAGGAATATCCTGGTTCTGGTCGACAGGTGACAGATACCTTTTAACGATCCACATTAGCCTTTTAGAGTCAAGCTGCTACTTATAGCACAGCACCTGGGGTGGCCTCCCCTTACATTTGAATCATGGTATAATTTACAGAAACACCCTTCCTGTAGCTTTTGTAGTCACTGTTTTTTCAAAGACAATATCCCAACCCTCACCCAGAGTTTTCAAAAGCACCGCTAGGCATAGAGTAGATGTTCAGTATATTGACTGTCAGTCAACGAAAAGGAAATCTGTTTAAAATACTGAATTTTTATCCTACTCTTGTTTCAAATCAAGGAGAGCTCAGTAGTGAGTTGAGAAAACACAAAAGCTCTGAAGCTAAACTGTAAAAGAAAATGACTCTTAAATATTAAGGACAGTTTACTTTCCTGCCCAGTTCGGGCTGGAGGCGACCCGAAGTAGATGATGAGTTCGTTGCATTTGTAGGATAAAAGCTCCTTCATACACCTCCCGGAAGTCAGAGTGATAGACAATTGTGAAAGGTCCCTGCTGTCAACAGCTGTATGCTTTCGTATTGCTGGTGGATTTCTTCGGTTGAGGTTGAAATTTATTCTATTTTACATTCTTATGAAGATATCAATCTTACCTTGCACTTGTTGACTTTATATTCAGTCATTTAAATCAACTAATCAAATAACGGAAATGCACAAATGTCAAATTTTGGAAGTATATTCGAAACCAACGCTGTATGACTGGGTTGAATCTGGCGTGTTTGATTTTTTTTTTTTTTTTAGAAGTGAGAGAACAGTTCCCTCTGCCTACATGTCTTTTCTTGTCATCCTCGTAGATCTCTTTGGCTTTCAGAAAGATACGGAAATAATGTGTATGTGAATCAAGGACTCAATGAGTTTTACTTAATGTTGTATATTACATTCCACCCTGTTTGAAAATAATGAACCCATGGACCACTGCTTACATCATCTGTAGTATCTTCACATACAATATATTTAATGTTAATAGATTATGTTTCAACTCTGTAGAGGTTCAGAGGCATATGTGAGGTGGTCATTTCACTGAGTATAGACCACTCGATTCAATTTGTAATTCAGAGACTTATAAGTGGGAAAAAAATGTAGAAACTAGTTTGGGCAAATTTTTCCTGACACTGTGACCAGACTGAATTTCCTCATAAAGAAAAAATGGTGTGCCTCGTGTCTGTGTTTCTCTTTTCTCTGAAACGATGAATGGACCTGAAGGTTTTGGGCCACTCTGAGCCTTCCTTTATATACTGCCAGAATATTCTCATTTAGATTTCCTGTCTTAAGCCATTTGAAGCAAAAGAGCTTCCCCATGACATTCTGGCCTTGGATGTCTTTTGTGGCCATAGATGCTTCTCTTTAAAAATGGGTAAAAGCAGGAAATTCAAGGCAGAGCTCCACGAGGTGCTTAAAGGGCACTTTTTTTTTTTTTTTTTTTTAAAGGGCACTTTTAACAAGAAACTAAAGCCCTTGAGGCCTACCCCACTCGCCCCAGCTAATCTCAGAATGCTTACCCCCAGCCAGGTGGCAGCTCCATGTCCAAATCTTAACCTTCGTTGAAAAATTAATGAATGCCTGGTTGGAAGATTGACAAACTGACCAAAATTTTAATACACACCAGGATGAGATGGCCAAAGGATCATTACAAAAGGGATAATGAGCCTGGAGATGTGTCTTTTTAAACATTATCTGTTGAAGCTTCTGACTCTTGATGCTTTTATAGAGAACTATGAATTGTATAGTTGAATCATGGTTTATAAAAAGGAACAAAATGAACCAAGATTGGCGATCTTTGCTGATCTCTTAGGAATACCTCTTCTGGAGAAAAGTTCACACGAAGTGCAATATGCTTGTAAAGGTAAATAGTTATTAATATTTCTAGCAACATGATATAAAGAATTATGACTGTAAGTATTAACCGACTGGCAGCTTTTTTTCAGTATTAGCACAGTGTCTGGCCAGTGTTGGAGTCGATGTATTATTTCAGTTCAACTGGATGAAATGTTAAATAAACTCAGAATGAAAAAAAATTCTCTCTTTTATTTGTATGTAAAGGATGATGCAGTTTTTATGTTATACTCAATGGTACCTTTCATTCTAACTTAATATCTGGGTACCATCAGTAACTCCTGATGAAGAGATATTTTTGTATTATGCCTTTAGCAGGAAATATATTTCTAGTCCTGGCTACCAGTTTTCCACCTTCTTGAACACCATAGAGGCTCCCACCCCCCCACGGCAGCCCCACACAGCGTAATTCCAGGTACGTTCGTTATGACACAGGGGGAATGAGATTCTGCCTTCGACCCTGATGACTGACACCCTTACACATGTGGTCAGGTCAATTTGCTTTTATATTGTTTGTCAGATTCTAATGTGGAACTAGCGTTTACCATAGTTCACAGAGAAAATCTAAATTTAACCCAGGATTGGGGAGTGCCTTATTAAGAGACGTAAAAAAGAACTGAGCATTTTACCCACCGTGGTCACGTCTCTGCTCTGTGTTGCCACAGGACCTCTGTTTATCACTTAAATTTTTGAAATATATTCAAGAGCTTGGGCCTAGGAGCCAGAGCCGCTACAGTCTTGGTTGTCCCCACTTTTAAACTAAACATATCTGGGCTGGTGACATTCTCTGTGACCTTCAGTTTTATTAGTTTAGATTGTTTGGAGAGAATAACTGAATCTACCTCACAGAGTTGTTGTAAACAAGCTAATTCCAGCACAGCGGTTTACGTAGTGCCTGGTACAGAGTAACCATTCAGCGGACGATTGCCAATTGTCTACAGATGCTGGACGTGCATTCCAAATGCCAGTACATCAATCTCCTGGTAAGATTGCAGAGTCTTGGCGGCTTCCGCAGAGATAACCCACAACTTCACTAAAAGTAGATTAAAGTGGCCACGGGGAGACACGTGAATCCATCCTTTTAAAACGTCCAACGATTAAGGTTTTGCCTAGATGAGACAGAGGTGGGAAAGTCTCTGCTCACAGATGAGAAAGCTGGGGCTTCAAGTAGCACAAGTTCAAGGCTGCTCCTGGTCGCCAGAAAACTATAGTGGCAGCCAAGGTCTGACACCTGAATCTACAGTCCTGTCCAAAAAGTGTAAACAACTGGAACATTCCAATAACATTAGTTTTTCAAATTGGTGTATTCTTGTGTATTCATAATTTCACTAAAAGCCAAAGAAAGGTCAGGTTACATCTGTTAGTGATGTTATAAAGTATCAAGCTCTAGATATTCAAAGTATGGTCCATAGCCCAGCAACATCCAAGTTTGTTAGAAATGCAAGTTCTTGGGCCCCAGCCCAGACCTGCTGAGCCAACATCTGCCAGATAACAGGAGCCCTGAGATCCCCGTATGCGTCACAGCTGGAGAAGTTCTGGCTGTGCCACATCTCCGACGCTCCCAGGGACCCGAGCTTCACTGGGTCCGTTTCAGATCAACTTCTAATACTCTGTGAATTTGCGTATTTACCCCTCACCAGATTCCAAGGAAGCTTCCAGCTTCAATGTTGACATTCTTAGGGACATAGGGTCAACAAGCTTACGAGGGCAGGGATTTCCGTTTTGTCCACGGCCGTAGCTCCATCACTTAGAACAACTGGCACCAGCGAAGGGTCCCCATATGGTCATCGGGTTCATCCTGGGCTCTTTCTGGGAATCTGAAGAAGGGTCTTCACATTTCCGATATCCAGTTGTGGAAAGGAAGCCACTTGGCGTCACGGAGAGGTCGTCACCAAGATGTGGAAAGAACAGGGAATCTGAGGGTTTCTGGGACCAGAGCTGGCCATGAATGTTATCCTTGGGAACCGAGAGGCAAAATGAGCATCCAAGTTGTAACCATTGTTGTGGAGCCAGCCCAACTGTCACGGAGGACACCACTGCCCCTGTAGCTTTTGGAGACGAAGGAGCACTTGGGACAATACACCTAGGGGCTTGTTGAACCCTCAAGGAGCCCACGATATGCCCAGTTTTAAAGAGAAGGAATTTGAGGCTCAGAGATGTGGGCTGATTTGTCTAATGTCATGCGGTGGCCCAACTGCTATCTCAGTCCAGGCCTGTCAGACTCCAGTGTCTTCCGCTGTACTTCACAGCTTCTCCATCAGTAGGAATAATTAGAACTAGCTTCGGTACAGCATTTTACCATCTTCAACGTGTTTTTATTTCTGCATACGTTACTCCTTGTCATAGCCCCAACAGTTCCTCTGAGCATCATCTCCATTTAAAAAGTGGGGAAACAGTCTTGAAGAAGTGAAATCACTTACCACCAACCTAACTTGGGGGATTCAAAGGATTATAAAAGATGTATTCACGTTCCCACACACACACCCACAAACAAAAGGTTTATGGAACATACAGAATTCCAATAAGGACCCGACCAAGGTCAAAGGCAGATCAGCAAGGTCATTTCCAGATAGGATCCTCTATTAGAGTAATAGGAACAATGGTTTTCAAAGTGTGGTCCCTGGTCCAGCAGCATCAGCATCACTGGGAACTAGAAATGCATGTTCTCAGGCCCTCTCGTACTGAATCAAAAACTCGAAGGTGGGACCCGGCCAACTTCTAACAAGCCCTCTGAGTGACTCTGACACAGTCCATTCAAACTTGAGAACCACTGGGTGGCTGTTAGGATGAATGCTAGAGTCGCGTTCAGCTCCGTTCTATGAACTGAGGCAGGCTAATCTCTCTAAACCTGTTTCCTCATCTGTAAAATGATGTTAATGCCACTTCCGTCATTGGGTTGTTGGGAGGATTCAATGAGAATTAATAAATGGACAGCACTTAGCCTGGCACAGGGTACACTCAACGCATTGTAGCTAAATTTATGTGATCCCCGGGACCAGAAGTTTGACAACACTGTTGGTGATCCTACAGGGAAACAGGCACTCTCGTGACTGCTGGTAGACATCCAAATTGCTGCAGTTTTCCTGCAAGACAGTTTGGGTGTCTCTCTCAAAACGTATAAAAGCACGTACCCTCCTTAAAGCAATTTCACGTCTAAGAATTAATCCCACAGATGGATACACTCGGGTTCACAGGAGACCTGGCTACTCCTGGGAGGGAACCGTATGAATGCAATGGTCGGGGGAAGTGAAGGAAGGGGGAGGTTGGAGAATATTTCCAGAAGATGGTGAGAAACTGCCAGGTAGGAAAAAAAAAGTGTACACTATTGTGGGTAATCCCAAGTATAAGAATAAATTTTCCCTTGGGAAAAAGAATTTTTTAATTTCTGAATTGGATTTTTGCAAGATAGAAGGATAAATAACAGTTGATTGTCACAAATATAAGCTAATTTGGGAAGAAAGGCTATCTCTGGATGGTGGGATTTTAAGTGATTTTAAAATTTTCTCCTTTATGCTTTTCTAGTTTTACAGATTTACTTCTGTTTCTGAACTCAGGACATACTAAATGCTACTTTAAAAAAAAAACAAACCCTGTAGGTTATAGTCCCAATTTTATAATAATATATGCACTGATATGTATAAAAAGACATATTAGAGGAATATATACCACAATGGTTAACAGTTGGTATCTCTGGATTTACAGGTCATCTTTATTTTCTTTACAGCTTTCTGTTTCTCAGATTTTCTGGAATGTATTGGTTCTAAAATCAGAAACACGTCAAGTTCAGGCCGTTGAGTGACCCCCAGCTCAGGCTTGGAAGCGGGTGCCTCTCAGCTCCCAAGCTCTGGGATTACCGAGCCAATCATTGACCCTCCCCTTGATTCCATCTCTCTCCTGGAAGTGATGGAAACAGTATCTACCTTATAGACAGGCCTGAACCTGTGGTTTTGGAGCTCCAGGCCGGAGAGATCCGCAGCGCCGAGAGACGCCGCCAGGGAGCAGCATTGCCTGCAACATCGCGCGACTGGAGCCCACCGATCCCCAGAGCTGCCGGCAGGTGGCGCAAGGCAACAGACTGCGGCCCTCGAACGTGCATCTCTGGATTTCCAAGGCCAGGTCGGGAAGATGGTGCAGGAAGCCAGGAGAAGGACATGGTCTCTCCAGCTTCAGGAAGCTGGAAAGATGCCAACAAGCAGGAATGGGACTTATTGTACAGGGCACCTGACTCGCGGTAGGAGGGGGGCAGTGCGGAACACGGAACAATTGTAGACCAGACCCAGCTCCTGCCCTCGGGGCCATCAGTGCTGCGACACAGGCCAATCACACCTGAAGCTGGCTCAGGGAAAGGGAGCTGGGAATCAGTGAGGGCTTTAAAGAGTGGCATCTCAACTGATACCGGGAAGAGGAGTAGAAATTTCTCACTGGGAGGAGAAAAGGGGCAAGAAGAAAACTAGGGCTTCTCCGTACCGGAATGGGCTTCCCTTTCCATGGAAAGATCTGGAAACCAGGGAGAGTGTGGCTGAATGGTGTGTGCAAAGGAGGGAACTTTGGGGAAGATGCCACCAGGATCTCAGGGTCGTGAGGGCCCTTCAGTGCCCAGGGAAGGAGTGCGGGCTTCATCCTGAAAGCAGGGACTCCTTCTGGAGGCTTTTGTCCGGGGGAGGAACAACAGTCAGATCCTAACTCTGTCACTTGCTGTTTTTGTCATATGGGACCGGCCAGTTCCCGTCTCCAATCCTCAGTGTACTCATCTGTAAAATGGAGACAATAAATTGCAAATAATAAATAAATACATACATTACAGACAATAAATAAATACATTACAGTCTTGCTGTGAAACTTAAAATGGGTAAATGGAGAACCTGAAGTCGTGACTTTCCTTCCCTTGTCCTTTTATTTCTCTGCAATAAACCAAATGGAAAAGACAGACAAGCAGGCCATTTCCAGGATGTCACAGTGTCAGTTTGGCAAGTGCGAAGTTTCCAGGAGCCAGGAAATCGATTCATCATGTGTGATTGCAATCAAGAACAAGTTCTTTCCTCGTATTCTCATTTATGATGAAAATGTATTTTAATCATGTGTAATCTCCAAGAAAGATGGTAGCAGGAGAGAACAAGGTTTTTAATAACGCAAAGCTAAAAATAGAGACGAAGATGACGATGCTATTGAAATTCCAAAGGAT